CGCTGTGAGTCGGGGCCAACTCGACGGCACCAACAACAACAACACTTGCCATCTGGCTGGTTCCTATTCAAACGTCAAATCTCAGGTTCATTCACTTTCCAACGACCTTGAATTCTGCCCTCCACTCACTTAATCCCTCTTATCATATCCAATTCCCTTCCCTTGATAATTTCTATTACAAGGTGTAATTATGTATGCATTTGTGTGTTTGATAGTCTCCTCTCCCACCAGACCATCAGCTCCAGGAGGAAGGGTTGTTTCTCTAGCTACCCTGCTGTATCTTCAGCACGTGGCACACAGGCAAGTAAACTGCCAGTCCCTTCTCTTGTAACTTCTCTGAAGGCATGTTTAGATTACATGCTCTTGGCCATATGCATTTAAGCACATTCAAGTATCTCCTTCTTGTCTTTGTGCTAGCTAGCAAGAGAACATGGGAAAGAAAGAAGAAAAAAAAAAATTTCCTCAATCACTCCAACCCTTTAGGTACCATTCCCCTCCCTCTTTTCAATCATTCTGCTTCAAAGAAGACTCTTAAAGTTGTTTTTATGACTGGATCTCAGTTATTCTTCAAGTCACCACATTCTAGTCTCTCTGCCTAGCTCTCTAGAGAGATCTCTCTCATAAGTATCTTTATGAAGCTTCACATTGGCTCTCCTTCTCTCAAAAGGCTTTCTTTACTTGACATTTAAGCTTCCACACCATCTGGCTTTCCTTTTCCATCTCTGGTTATTCCTCTGTCACATAAATGTTAGTTTTCTCTAGGGTCTACTCCAGCCCCTCTTCAATGCTACATATTCATCTATTCCCAGAGTTAAATTAGCATCCACAGTGCTTTAGTACTAAAACGGAATGATAAAAATTCCATAGTTTTTTCCATAGTTTCTGCAGAGGTTCCCAACTGCCTTCCCTTCCAAAATGAAGGACCAATTAATACCATTAACTTTTAAATCTCCATCTACAGTTCTTCTTTATCGCCTCAGTTTAGATCTGTGTGTCTATATTTTGAGGATACCCTCTACCCTGGAAGAAGTACAGACAGAATGCTCCTTAGAAGTGAGGACAGAGAGACTTTGTCTCACATATTTTGGACACGTTGTCAGGAGGGCTCGAGAGGGACATCATGCTTGGTAAAGCAGAAGACCACCAAAAAAGAGGAAGACCCTCAACGAGATGGGCAGACACAGTGACTGCAATAATGGGCTCCAACACAACAGCCACTGTGAAGACGGCTCAGGATTGAGGAGTGTTTCTTTCTTTTACACACAGGGTTGCTATAAGTTAGAACCAACTGGATGACACATAACAACAACTCCATCTGGTAATTTCATGGGGACTTCCAAATTTAGTTTGTCTAAAAATAGATTATTTTCCTATTCAAACTTGCTTTTCCTTATAACTCTTATTTCAGCAAACAAAACTTGTCCCAAATATAAAACTGGGAGGCATCTACCATTCTTTCCTCCTCCATTCTCAATAATGCCCCCCAAAGTTCAACATCAAATTAATCCCAAATTACTGATCTAGTCAGGGAGCTCTGGTAGCATAGTGGCTAAGGCACTTGACTGCTAACCAGAAGGCTGGCGGTTCAAATCCACCAGCCACTCCTCGGAAGGAAGGTTGGGCAATCCTACTTTCGTAGTGATACTGCCTCGGAAACCCAAGGAGGGGTCGCTATGAGTCGGGGCCGACTCCACGGCAAATAACAACAACAACAACATACATACATTGAATGTATACACATATACATTGACTTGGTCCACTTTTCTACATGCCTACTGATACTATCTCAGTTCAAATCATGATCATTTATTGCCTGGCCTCCTGTTGGGTATCTCCTTGCCTTCCTCTGCCCTCCAGACAGTTCTCAGAGGCTTGAATAATAAATTCTTGCTCAGAACTCTTCAGTGTCTCCTGATTGCCTCAAGATAAAGTCTCAATTGCTCAATTTATTCTGAACTCAACTGAACCTCACCACACCTCCTCCCCATGCTGAATTCCAGTATGCTACCCTCTTGTAATTCCTCACCCCTTTCCACAAACGGCTTGTATTCTCTGCTTGAAGGGAGAATTCTTACCATCTCCTCACTTGGCAAATTTCTTCAAGATTCAGTTTAGGTATCACCTCTTAAAAGAAATATTCCATGATTTCCCATGGCTGGGGTTAGCATACTACTGTAATACCCTATTGTCACAAAAGACTATAAAAGCCTTTAATACAGGCAGCCAGTCTTTAGCCTAGTAAGCTCCTTTAACATAACCCCCCCCCAAAAAAAAAAACCCAAACTCACTACTGCCAAGTCGGTTTCAATTCATAATGACCCCTCCTTGGGTTTCCGAGGCGACATCACTACAGAAGTAGAATGCTCATTCTTCCTACCGAGGAGTAGCTGGTGGGTTTGAACCACCAGCCTTCTTGTTAGCAGTCAAATGCCTTAGACACTAGGCCACCAGCACTCCTTCCCTTAATATAAACCAAACTCACTGCTGTTGAGTCAGAGCCGACTCACTGAGACCTCTCTTTGGGTTTCTGAGGCAGTATCACTATAGAAGTAGATTGCGCAACCTTCCTTCTGAGGAGTGGCTGGTGGGTTTGAACCGCCAGCCTTCTGGTTAGCAGTCAAACGCCTTAGGCACTACGCCATCCTAATCCACCATTACACACTCTAACCCCAATCTAGGGATATTCACAGAGGCCTTTAGGTACTAGCCAATGCATCAATTAACAAAAGAGAAGCTCACAGGACTTTAACTCTGATACTATATGAAGATGAGATAGATAAAAAGGTAAAGTAAAATTTACCTTCAAAATTTTTTTCACTTATCACTTTCTACCAATACAGTTTTAATGTTGTTGTTTGCCGTCGAGTCGGCCCCGACTCATAGCGACCCCTCCTTGGGTTTCCGAGGCAGTATCACTACGGAAGTAGGATTGCCCAACCT